TTTATTTCTAGGTAGCTTTATGCGTAATCATGAGATTTTATTACAAATGCAATTAAAATACGCCTGTTTTTAGTTTCAAATTTTTAAGATAATATTTAACTATATATTTTTTTATATATTTATTGTTTACAGTTCGGATAGTAAAAAATTATGTGTCACAATTAAAATTACAAGATTTAATTAAATGTTTATTTATGTGATCTTATTATTATGTAAATCAGCTGTCCAACAAATAGAATGTAATTTAAGAGCGGAGCAGAGCATCTCTCAAAAATTTAATTTCATAAAGAGAGCAAAAAATGCTATTTATCTTAAAAGCTCTTATAATAAACTCTGCCTCTCTAAGCACAGCTTTTCACCACAGGGAATGCTTTCTTAAAAGTTTTAGGAAAAGCTGCCTGCTTGTTGGTTTGCAGGGCCGATAAAAGATGGCGACTACAGGCAGGGAAAGAAGCTCAACATCTATTTTAAAAAAGTATATTCTCCCAATAGTATTTATAAATGATAAATTAATACCTCATTGAAAGAATGTAAGCTGTTTAAGTGTGTGCATTTAAATATTGAACACTGGTTTCATAAAATTTAGCGGTTCCGATAAAACAAATTTGGTTTTTACCAGAAAGTTTGCTTGTTTTTGCTATATTTTTAACTATAAGCCCGAAATTCAAAACCGATGTTGTTAGGAAGTTAGAAAATACATATACAGCTTAAGTTGCGGGTTAATATAGCCAATAAAATCACGGCTCAGCTCTGCCAGCGTTTTCAGCTGGAATTCGGCGCACCTATTTGGCCAGTATTTAACCGCCCGTTGACAATCGGGCGATAAGGAAAAAATGAATATGGCTAACTAGCCGTCAAGTGGTGTCAAATAATAGTTTGGTGGCAATGGTTAGACTTTTGATATGGCATCGACGCAGCGGTAATTCTGGTACTGCCGCTCATTAGGCAAAACATCGAAAGTTGCTGCGATCCACAATTTGTATCGCCCGCTGATCGACCGGCTCATTGAATTAAATTTAATTGGAGCCCAGGTAAACAGTCACTCAGTCAGTCAAACATTCGGCGGTCGCTAAAGGCTTCTCCCCGCCTCAAACACGCGCTGCCCAGCCATAAAAACGGATTCGAATCGGATCGAAACGAATCGAATCGGATTGGATACTCCTCGCCCCCTTGCTGACCAAAAAACAAAATAAAATAGATATCCCCGCAATCTGCGCATGCGTGGCGCGCATATTTCATGGCAAGGCGATAATTAATGCAGCCAAAAACTGAAATACAAAGTGTCTCTAGTTGTTGCTGTCCAAAGTTGCGGGGTATAAAAAGTCCAAATATTACTTTTATTAAATTTGCACGTTTATGGATACGCTACATGAAGTTGTTTGAGGCGGCGCTTTAATCGATTGCCCATATTATGTATTCATTTATTCGAAAAAGAAAGTTTGTTGACTCAGAATAAGTGAAGAGCTATTTTGTGCCAAAGATCCTGACTGTTTGCATTTACTTTTCTTATATTTCCTAGCTTTTCTTGACTGCGAAGTTTCATTCAAAAAGTTTATACTTTATTCGCAAGTGCAATTAAGAGCAGTTGAAGGCGAAGCCCTTTCGTGTCAGCAGAATTTGATTTTCTGGCTAATCAATCGGCTCCGTAGGGCAGTCAACAAATCGGTCGATTGCAACCAGAAATTGCTTTCATGTCTGTCAACAGGTTTTTGACGTTCAACTCTCCCGTGCCGAGCGGTTCAGAGGGGCAAAAGTATCTAGATAGCGACTGCAGCGCGGCTCAAAAATCTGCGCATGATGATTTATTGCCGGTGGCCCGCTTTTGGCATTTGACGCATTTGTGCAACATGCGTTTTGACATTTAAAGCTGATTTGTGTGAAATTCGAACGAACAGGCAGCAACATCTCGCTGCGAATTAGTCTTTTGATTTTATTTGTATTTTGCACCTCGCATTTGACGCTTGTCTAGTTCCAATTTTAATTAGAATTTGTTATTGATTTAGTTGTTGATTTATTAATAGCAGTGATTAAGTGCACGGCTCCAGACGCTGCGACTGTGGCGCCCGCAGCTTATTTGCCTGGCACGCAATGCCAAGATCTGATCCGAATCGGGCCAGATCCGAGCTCCGAGCCTGTCCAGTTTTGGGCAAGCCCCAAACCAGCTTGGCCAGCGTGGCCAGCACGCACCACCAGCACCTCGGCACCACCAGCACCACCAGCACCACACGCACCACTCGGTGGTTGGGCAGCTGCAGAAGTCCAGCGTCGCTTAAGCTGATCACAAGGCTCCGGTCGCGTATCGGTGCAGCATTTAAATCCGCTGATAAAGTTGAACAAGCCCGAATTAGATACAATAATTAATCGGGAGACCGGCAAAAGCCTATGTAGTTTCATAGTTTCGATAACCCTGAGGTGAGTGCGGACTGTATAAATTCTGTGTCTGCTTTTAAATTTGTCATAGATATATTAATATTCAGCACTATGCCATGTTGAATCAACAAAAAGATGTAAATATGAGCCACAACAATCGTATTTCCAATTGGTAGTTTTGAAATACCTACCCATATAACATACACCAAAAGCAGAACAGATGTAATTCAATAACTCAGTTCAAATTTAAGCCAAGCCTAACCATACTTTCCCTGCAACTCAACTTATCTGATTGGCATCCATGGTGCTCATAACTTTGGCCGACTGGCCCAGTCTTGGAATTCAGCAATTAGCATTGGCATAATTATTGCAAACCAAGTCGGAGCTTCCCAAGCCCTTCACTAATTGGTCTACCTAATTGTTAGTCCCAAGCGCAAACCCCTTTTCCCGCAGATATGCCATTCCATGGGCTCAACGTTGCGTATGAGCAATATTTACATTTGTGCAGCTGTAAATTGCATTTTGCACTGCTCTGCATAGCCGAAATTTAATTACGTATTTGCCGAGCACAAGTCATAAACATTGAGTTAGCCGAGAAGCCAAATATTTAATGGATGAAATCATGAACTTAAATTCAATTTCTGAATGTCGGGTACAGTCTTGTGAATTCACACATTTAAATGCAGTTGTTGCTAAATACAATTTTCAGAGCGTTCAAATCTTGACAGTGTCCGTTGATGTGTGTAATGCAATTTGTCATGCACTTGATCAGTTTAGGAAATGCAGCTGAACAGAAATTTTATTTGACTTTTAACACATTTACTTCGAAAGATTTTCGGTTCTTTTAGCGCTCAAGGCCAATCTAATTTTCTGGCAAACAAGATTTTTGTCTATTATTTCCTGAAAAGGAGCGACTTTTCGGCTTTTCAGTTTATATTGAGTATGCAAACTTAATCATCCCAAATACAGATGTTACCATAATATTTGTTTGGGCATCTACGCAATCGAACTTTGAACATTTTGCAATACGTTTGTGCGGTAAATTTAAACATGAAAAATGTATATTTGTTCAATTGAATTCAATAGAAGCTTGGTTTTTTATTAAAGAAATATAATATTAGACCTTAGCTATTAACCAAATGAACACATTTAATAATCATGGGAATGAGGATACTATTTGAAGAAGCAACCTTTAATAAATATTAAATGCTGAATGGACAACAAGCAGAGACTAGCAAGGACCTTCTAATCTTTCCGTTGCGGACTTCCTGTATTAATCGGATGCTAGAACGTCTATTAATTATAGGATATGTTCACGCAATGCCGCAATCTCATGTTTCCCTCAATTAATTCGGATTGCCTGACTGCTACATTACTTGAGCCTAATGATTCCACCCCCATGCAAAACAGGATTTTTCATTCGAAATCCTCGATAAGTCTGCTATAATTATTATACATATTACAACTGTTTTGATAACTGTTCTCCATCTGCTTCCTTTCAGGTAAGTCGCTGAGATACTTTGTGCTGCTTAAAATCTTCGAAGGGCTTTGGGTATTTTTGGTGCCAGGTAAGTCAGCCCCTAAAAGCAAATTATATGCAAAACAAAGGGAGTGAACGACGGGCAGGAACTGAGAAAGGAAGTTGCAAACACTTGTACAACTTAAGGGAAACAAGAAATTTTTAGAATATTTTTATCTCCAAGGCGCTTCAAAAAAGGGGGCGTAAGTGTGTGCGTGCTGGGGGTTTATTTTATAACGGTGTCGGTATGATTATGTATGCACCAGTGTGTGTATATGGTGCGTGTGTGTGTGTGTGCTGGCCCCAAGGGTCGCCCTGCTGAAAATGCTTTTCATTTTGTTTTGACTCCCGAGCAGCAGCAGCTGAAAAAACGCCCAATTGTGGGTGGCAACCTGTTGAAGGCGCCCCTCAGTAAACAACAAAAAAGCCAAAAAAAAGGCGAAAGCCATGCTCCGAAAGCGAAGCCATAGGAGAGCAGAGAGCCATCGATTTTGGGAGCGGGAAAAGCTGGCGGAAAATATTGGGAAATTATCCGACACGTTCCAGTTTTCAATTCCTTATAAAAAGGAAATTATGGAACATGCTAAATACACTAATAAATATATTTTATTGCCCACGAGTATTACTCCATATAAGTTGACAATTTTATTAGTATTTTAATATCCAAAACAATGGTATAGATTCAGCATATCTTAGGAGCTTTTTGGCGCACTAGGTAAAATATAAAATATATAAATAAACATTTAAAATAAATGCAACATCTTTGTAAAATTGTAAATTTTTGAAATACTGCTATAAGTAAAATATTTCCCAAAATTAAAAGAGATTTCAAATCGCAGCTTTCAGCAACGTTCTCCAGCTTTTCTTACCACAAGCTCTTTGGCTGGCCGAGCTTTAAGCCAATTTCCCCGTGAAAACAGCGGGAAATGGCGGCGAGCTTGGCGAATTTTCATGCGCAGATTTCTTCGGGGCCTGAAAGCTTTTTGGTGTGGGCCAATATGGTTGTTGTTGCTGCTTTGGGACGGGTTGGACACTCGTGTGTGTGTGTGTGTGTATGGGTGTGTGCGGTCTCTGTTTTGGATCTCGGTGTCTCCGTGATTCCGCCGCTGCTATCAACTCCGAATCCGAAAAATCCAGTTCCAGTTTATCCACAGCAGGCAGCATGTGCGGACGTAGTGCTGCACCTGCTCCGCATTTTCTTATCGCGTTCGCGTGCTTTCCATCTGAGCATCACCATCCGCCGGCTAATCGTGTGTTTATCGCAAGCAGATCGGAAACTCAGTTATCGAAGCTAATTTCCGTGTGAACAGTGCTGTTCTGAAATCCATTAATCAGTAATAATAATAATAAGCATTATAATCATTATAATCACTTGAACAAGTGCATAACCAAACGAGTGTCTTTCGCTATTTTTTTTTGTAAATTTCGGTTTGTGGAACTTTTCGTTTATCATTATCAAAGCGTACACGCCCATGCCTATAATTTGTTATTTATGCAATTGACTTTTTATCTCCCTGTTAGCTTTATTACGCCTTCACACACCCATCATAAAAAAAAAAATTGAAGATAAATATATATCTCTGTATATTTTCACTAATTTTATTTGATTTATGTTCAATGCAATCAGGCGAATGCAATTTGTCAAACTAGCAACAACAAATCGATTGTATCAATTACCAAGCTCTGCCCCTCGCAAATAAAACAAATAATTTTGCAATCCAAGTGTAAAATATGGCACAACGAGAATTGTTGCTAATCAAATTTATATATCTGCGCTACCGATTCGCTTGGGGGACGGGGAAATCAGACTGTCAGATTTGACGTCATTATATTTGCATAAATAAATACAATAATCCATGCCACTCCATTAAAAAACACTTAAAAGAAATAAATAAATTTATACAAATGATTAACGCAAATCTGATTCTCAATATGCTGCGCGGCCTCGTTTATGATATCATAAAAAGCTAGTAAATACAATAATAATATCGCTACACGCATTCGAGGGCCTCAGATTTATGCGTACTTTATGGCAAAATTTGTTCGTCGACAGAAACGGAAAATGAACTTCCTCAATGGTTAACACATTAATGCTCATCCAATGGGCTGACATAAAAATTTCCAATAATACGTGAATATTAAGCATTTGATTTTCAATCATCCACTTTTATTCGATGTGTAGTCGACGAGACATATCGTCAAAATCACATCTAAATGTTGCAAAATGTTTATACAAATCGCAGCAAACTGTGGCCACATCATTTTGCCGCTTTTATACACAAACATATGTACGTACGTACTTCAATGCAAACAAAGTTGAAAAACTTTTGGCCACTACCGCCACCCCTACCTACCACTCCCCCTCCAATTCTAGTGCTGATCAAAGCCAACTGCGCACCGGACGCACGGAGTCGAAATCGGCATCCAACAAAATATATTTGTAGTTGGCCGAAAATTCACATCGTTTGCATTCAGCCACACACACCTAACGGATGCAGTATGAGCAGCACACGCACGCCACAAAAAGATACCGAGATACGAAAGTATCTAGCACGTTTTCAGCATTTCGCCTACGTCACGCCGCCAAAAGCCGACTTGGCCTATGTATTCGAATAGTAATATCGTAGATACACGTATATATAGATATTCTTAATTGCCCGCAGCAATTGTCGCCCCCGAAAATTGGCACAGTGGTCGGCACATGAAATCGATCCCACTGTGCGGCGATCAAATCTATCGTTTTCGTTAGGCAAAACTCTAGGCGACTGGAAAATACCCTATTTCGTTTCAGGATTTCCTGAAAAATATTTTTTTTTATTAAATTTTACGTTATTTTTGTAACGTGAAATCGCTAGTCGAGCCCATACTTATCTTACAGACTTTTTACAACTCGGAAACGTATACTGTCTGATATGCAACATTATTACTATACAAAAAATGAATATGAAAGCCCGAGAAAAACTGGCCAATGACCTGATTATGAAAACCTGTTAAAAGTTACACTTTATATAATTTATTCATTTCCACAACCTAAGAAAAACTTATTTCCCTTTCTCATTACGCCATTGACTACAGTAGAAAAATAGGGTAAATTTAAATTTTTATGGCCTACAATATTAATATCTTAGCTAAAAATATGCATAAAATTATATCATCTATTTCGTAGATATGGCTTATTTATAAAACATTTGCGAATGCAAATAAATAAATACTTAGATATTTTATAAAATAAATATTTATACATGTTAAATATATAATTGATTTGACACAATGTTGAGAATTTTTAGAACGCATTCTTACAATCGTAAAACTGCATGAACCAGTGAAAAAATATAAAATGTTGCAAGACAACCGAAGTTATTAAATGTTCTATTAAAGTGTATTTTAAAGAGGGCACGGAATTTTTTAAAAGTATCTCACACTCTTAGTTGTTGTGAAAACACACTTCCTTCTCCTGCACTTCGGCGCAGAATTGTAATTACTGCCATTGCATTTGCAAAAATTTGCAATGAGAGAACGCTCGCTGAATAGCTTTGTCGCAGCTCTCGGATACTGGTTGTCATTCTGGTTGGCTTGCCATTGTCGATGTCCACTTCTAATTTGGACTATTGTTAGACATGGTCAAGATCCAGTCCAGCAGCTGCGAGATGCGGCAGGCGAAAAAATGAGAAAATAAGTCGCGTCGAGGTTTTAAAGTGTCTTGAAGTGGACAGCTGGTCGAGTGTTTGCTTTGGGCCAACATGCCAAGTTGGCCAGCTAATTGCGCCCATGCCCAGGGGATCAATTAGAGCCAGAGCCAGAGCCAGGTAGTGCACTCGCGATTCGACTAGGCCTAAATGGTGGACAAGAAATCAAATACGTTGGTATTGGAATGCAATTCAAACGGAGCGTGTACATTGCCCGATTTCGGTTACCCTTTTAAGCGGCGACAGGCACTCGAGAAATGCCAAAAATTTTTGACCTACATTCAACGAGAAATTAATACAAACACAGTTATGATACTAAAAAACAAAAAGCCGAGCCGAACAAAAAGGCAAGCAGCGAAAATCTCATTAAATTTCATGCAGCATTCGACGCAGATACAGCGATACAAAATGTTACAAGACAACCGAAGTTATTGAAGCGGCCCATCAATTTTCACTGCCCATCAGGCGGCGAACTTGTTTCGGGCTTACACGCAACGTTGCCAAAAACGACATGGCCAAAACGGCGGTGGAGCAGGAGGATAAGAGCTGGCCACTCAGGACAGCGGGACAGGCAATTTAATTAAAGGCATTTATGCTTTTTACTGCCAGCTGTGGTTGGCTCTTCAGTTTCTGTATTTTACGGGGCATCGCAGGGTAGCAGATTCGATAGAGTTCATATTTCGTGCTCGCCAATGACATGACATTATCGCTGAGGTTTTATAGTAGTTAGTATTCACTTTATAAAGATGTTATGAATAATTGAATATAAATAATACTGTAAAAATGTAATTTAGGTATTTTGACAGCTTTTCTATTTGCCTTAATTAGTCAAAGATACGCTTTCTTTAAAATTTTTTAAGCACACTTACAATAACTGATATCAATGTTATGATTTTCACCCTGGCAAAATCTCAAAAAAAAGTATCACTTTCTTTAAAGGGTATTCCCATGTCGAGGCCGAGCTCCACTTCCTTCCAGTTCACCGGCCACTTCATATTCCAATTGCCCTTTGTCATCGTATCTGCATTGTCCACTGGCCATCTTCACGTTCCTCGCGATGATCACAAGTGCAGAGTTCCGAGCCAGAAACGGGTTTTAATCTGGCCAAAAGGGGGAACGGAGTGGACCACTCAGTGGGCGCTTTTCTGGAACTGTCTTAACTGCCATAAATGATGTTAACGATGCCCTTTGGGTGTTAATTACGAATACGATTTAATCTGGACAATCGGGTGTCATTAAGTGCAGCGCAAATGATCCGCAGCTATGTGCTAATTAAAGCGACAGACCTTGAATAATCGGTAATTTTTTCCATTCCATTCAAAGGGTATAGCAAAAAACGGGTATAAGACGCGTAATAAATGCACATTAATTCAATTAGCCAGTCATAATGTTTTCGTTTTTAACCAAATAAACATGCGAACATAAATACTGAAAAAAGTAGATATGTGGTTCTTGTTTATAGATAAATTTAGATGTCAGCGAGCGACCTTAGAAAAGTTCACAACAAAAATCGCTGACGCCACAAAAAAGGGGAGAGCTTTCCGAAAATGTTCTCAAAATATTTAATGTGCGGCTTTTCTTTCTGCTGACTTTTCCTCCTTCAGTTTCTAGCACTCTTCTCTTTTAAATTTCGGTGTGTTTGCTTGGCGGCGTGGAAATGCCGACGCTTTTGTTTTGTAATTTTCCTTCATTGTTTGGCATTGTTTTCGCTGCCATTGTTTGGTTTTTTTTTTTGGATTGGTGAGAAGTGAGGCGGAAAAGCGTCTGCTATAAAAATTAAACGCCTTTTCGAGCCTTTTGATTGACTGGCAGAAAGTTTTGAAAATGTTGGGCAGGTGTCAACCAAATCTGATAACGCATAAAATCATTTTTGTGACTTTGACATGAATGTATTGTATATGTTATAAGGGAACTGTATAATTTTTATAAAGTGATAAGTTTTATGCAAAAGAAGGAGGAATATAGAAAAAAGCTTAGTTCAAAATGTTAGAGAGAGAGTATTTTCGTGAAAGTTGTATTTAAAAGTTAATAAACATATTTCTTACATAACATATTTGATTTAGTCATTAGAAAAGATATAAGTAAAGATATATCTAAGTACTGCAGCAACCAGTAAGGGAAAAAACATTTAAGTGAAAGTACACTTGGCCACTTGGGCTTGGAGTTCCTTTGCTAATCGGGCAGATCATCTGCTGACTCAATATATTAAGAATTCTGTCAATGTCTAATTCTCAGCCACTCTCGACTTATCGAGCAGATAACGGTCGCTCCCACTGGCCAAGTTAAGTGACTTAAGTGCCGTCAAGCTTGCTTCTTTTTTTATTTAAGCTTTTACGGCGTCGGCTTTACGCTTCTTTTGTTTTTGTTCCAGCCGCCCTTGTTCTCCGGGGCTTTCTTATATGTGTGTTTTTATCTAATCAATAATCGCAAGAAATGTCCGACTAGCAAACGTGTAAAACCGTTGGGGACCACGACAACACAAGGACGTGCTGGGAAAAAAAAAAGAAAAATCAAACACTGAAGCCAAAGAGCAGACAGCATTGACTTCGTTGTGTGTGAAAAACTTTTAAGCAAACAATTGTGGGGCGAGCCTAATAAAATCAACACACACAAGCGTACGTCAGCACACACAGCTTCATCGGCACTTA